TCATTGCTATTATTCTTCCTCCTTCTTCTCTCTTGTCCTATCTGCCATTGATGTGTTCTCTGTTGTCGGGAGCAGCCTAGTGCGCTGCAGAAGGCATTTGCCAGGACCTTTTCAGTCTTCCTGTCTTTGAAATGAAGGTGCTGAATTCTTTAAATTTTTCAACAAAAGTCAAATTTCCATACTATTTACCTTATTCTTACTTTTCTACCCTGAATCTTCTGATGTGAACATCTTCCTTAGAGCACCCCACCTGAAAGTTTGCTAGTGATGATGAGAGCAAATATTGTGTCACACGATTTACAGGCTATAGTCCCTGATCCTGCAATCGAGTAGGCCTTTGGGTTCAGTTTTGATCCACTATATTTCTAGAGTCTTTTATGCAGGTTTGTCAGGAATCTGTTTGTTTCTGATTATGTATTTGTGTATTTAACTGTTCCTGAGTTAAAAAAAGGAGTACCTGCACATATCTATCCTGTTCATCATTCTTGTTTTTCCAGGTGGGTATACATACTGGTATGAACTATGTAACCACATACAGGTATGAACTATGTAATCACAGTTATAGCTACCCTGACTTTTGTTTGTAGTGCAGGTATCTCAGGTGCCACATGAGTTTCCACAAAAATAATTTTAAATGCACTTTCAGTATTTGTATAGAAAGGCAATATTTCAAATTCACTGCACTTAAAATGAAGATGCAATGTCTACATGTTTACATGAAGCTTATCGCATTTTTTAGCTGGTGGTAGGGCCAGACAAAATTACTTTTACTAAGGAACACAAATTTTCTTAATGAGCTTTTGAAAAGGTTTTTGTTTATTATTTCTTTCTATCATCTCATCTATCTTCCACATGTTTTAGACTTCTATTTGATTCTATTAGATTGTTTTCTATCTTCAAGCACTTTTGTTTGATTATTAAAAAATGTGGTTTTCTGAGCCAGATTGCAATAACACACTGCTTTTTTTGGGCTATTTATTGTTCCAAAGATGGTTTATCTTACTGGGTAAAGTGTACGAGAAAAGCAAAGTCATCAGACTATCTCTGCAGTACTTTTTCTATGAGCCCAGCAAAGAGACAAAGTAATCTTTTCTATGAAGGATGCATTACAAAATTTGCAAGGTGCATTTTAATACAAAGTTGGACACTATTTCTTTTTCCTAATTTCAACAGAAACTGTCACTGTCTTCAACGGGTACCTTAACAGTGCAGATATGGATTTTAGATTCAGTTACTTTCCACATTATATTTCCAGAACACCAATTACTGTGAGACAGAAGCACTGAGAGGCAGTAAATGGTTTGTGCAAATATAAATGGGCTTTGCTTTCACTGTAGTAACGAGAAGTTATTTTTTATAATTATTTCTGTTTCACTTCTTCCTGTCTATCTTTTATAGCCCAGTGATCTAGAAATGCATGAAGAGAGAAGCCAACTTCTGTAGCCAGCTTTAATGTATCCTGGTACTTTCAGTTCTTTAAAAATTAGGGAATATGTTTCAGACTAGATCCCCGGAAAATGTAAAGCTGACTGAGTATATAAAACATTGATGTAGCATGTTCACTGTCACTAACTCCCCTAGGAAGGCAGGCTAACATGTGATAGATGTACTTAGCTTTTATTTAACCTTGACACACTCTTAGGGGAGAGAAGTCTGTTAGAGAGTTGTAACATACATGTGGCTGTGGCCTTTGCTTTTTAAACAGAGACATTATTACTGTCCAGCTAAAGGGTGTTTTAAGTTAAACCATGTCATTTGAAGGTGTCATAAACAGAGATCTTGCATGAAGTCTCTCCAGATTCCTTCACTGACTTCCTCCTTCCTGTCACTTCCTCTCCTTTCCTCTGAAAACAGGCAGGTAGCTGTATCTGGACATTACAGTTAAAGCAGAGGAAGCAAAGATGCTCTGGATAGGCTCTGTGTATCTATTGCAATATGCTCTGCACAGCCCAAGCTGGCAACTGGCTTGTTTAATTCTTTGGACAGCTTCTTGTTAGGGCACTCCAAGAGGATGTGACACTGACCCATCAATATCCTCAGTGACCTTCTGAAGAGGAGGGAGCATCATTTCCAGGAAGGGCACCATTCTCTCATGTAAACCTTGTGCATGAAGCTTATACATTGCACTAAAACATATGGTGCTGGAATACATTTGTCTCTTTCCAACCCTGGGGCAATTCAATTATGTTTCATTAACATTAGCAAATAATTACTATGCCCAAATAGCATGTTCAAGCTGATTTTTTTTTCTTATGTGTCAGGAGGGTAGAAATAGTGCCAAGACATTATCACAGACTGTTCCAGGACTATTGCAAACTTGCTGTTTTTAGGCTCTTCACTTAATTGTACCTAATATCATCACTTATATTTGTAGAAAAGAGCAGTAAAACTCAGCTCCTGATCTCCTGATCTGCACACATCTCGCTCCTCTTGCAGTGTTCTCCTAGGAACTGCAGTCATCTTTATTTACTGAAGATGGAGTTTGGCCCGCTGTTACTGAAATTCAGAGAACAGCTAAGACTTGGCTGCCAGAAAAAAAATCAGCCACTGCATTTTTGCTTTTCCATGTCCCTTTCTTTGCCATCAGAGAAAATAACTGTTTAAAATGAATGGACAGATTCACTTATTTTTTAAGAAAGGTAGGAAGTAAAATATTGATCAATGGTGATAACAAAAAGACAGATCCTCCATATGACGTTTGCCATTTTGGTATTCAGATTATTCCCATATCCAAGTCAGGCACACAAACAAGCAAACACACAACCCCACAATTTTTCATCTTATTTCAGACTCTAGCATTTATCCTGAGCAAAGGAGAGTATTACCACTCCTAGCTCACATCAGTCCTGCAGTCTCTTCCCAGCAGGTGGTAACAATTTCATTCTTCATAGAAAGATTTGACAGCTGTTTAGCAGTGCACAGTACAGCACACTTGAGGATAGGATAGGAGAGAAGAAGCAAAACTGTATGTACCTGGAGCTACAGAAAAGGTATTGCAAAATGTGGAAGGAAGAGATGGTGATGACCTAGCATTTCTTTCATTTACAAGAACCAGCCTTTGTGAAGAGCAAGGTTCCAAGAGCAAGCCCCTGAACCTTGAGCTAGTTTCAAGCTATCTGGTTTAGCTGACATTGCCAAAGGGACCAGTCAGGCTTCCTCTTTGGCCACTTGTTGAGGTTTTCAGCTAAGCTTCATGCCGCGGTGATCTCCCGCAGAGAGTACCTGCCATGTTAGTTCAAAACTATCTCCAGGTGTTTGCGAACACTTGTACTGTTAGATGTCGGAAACTCACCTAGAAGGGGAGAAAAAGCAGCAAATCATGGGACAGCTAATGAAAGCAACATTCCATGCCATGATGTGGCATTTGTACTGGCCTCCCCTGACATTGTCCTTGGTCATGCAGATCTCCAAGAGGTTATGCCTGTATTCTTCCTCAGCCCGTGCGGTATTTTCAATGGGTGTTTGCAAGGATTACAGTCAACCTGAAATTCTCATTTAGACGGTGCAATATGTCATTGAAAACTCTTAAAATAGGCTTATTTAAAGAGAGCAAAAGTACCTTCTCTGATTTTGGAATATTTATATGACACACTCTTCAGAGTTTTTTTTTTTTGTTTGTGTTTTGAAAAACATATCAGTCTTTTTTTATAACTTCATGGAGAGGGAGAGCGTTCGGTCTGTTTATTTCTTTTATATATAAATAAGATGTAAATGGGATATAACTGAATTTTAATTTTAAACTGCTGGATAGTTTGGGATCTTTTTTTTCATTTAACATAATGGAAAAAGAAAAATGTATGCATGTAATATAAAGTTGAATGGCCTAAACTTTTCTGAATCACTCTTCCATGTTTTTCTTAGAACTATGGATTTTGAAGGCTATTGCAGAGGCCTAACTTTAATAATCTATCTGCCTTTTCTATAAATCATGTTGAGTATTTGATTATAAGTTTGTGGCTTGAAATTATTTGCCAGTAAAGACTGTTTTTCTTCTTTCCTCCTCACTTTTTTTTCTGCAATTTTTTGAATCCATCACTTTCCAACTGTGAATATATGAAATAGCGGGAGGTGTATGAAATAGTCACAACAAAAAAAGAGAAATGATTTGAAGTGGTGGGAGCCTTTATTTGCATTTCATTAAAAAGGCTAAAATTATGTATCTCATTTTTTGCATTCAAAAATTCATCTGCTATTTACGAAAAAAATAGATAAGACAGATAGAAGAAGCTTCATTCAGAGAGGAAAAATTACTGAAAAACATTTGCACTTCATGTCTGAAATCCCATTCTATTGTTTAAGATAAATGTGCCAGAGAAATTGAACAGCTACAGAAAGTATTTTAACTGGGCAGAGAGAATATGAGTCAGATAGGACATTCTCTGGTTATTTTCTTGGGCTGTCTGTGCATTTTATTTGCATTTCCTCTCAATCAATAATCAAAACATGTGTCTTAAAACTCCTTGGGATGTGTAGCAGGATCCTTTATGGAAAGAGCTTTCTTGTTTTATTGTGCTCTAGTTTTAAAGAGCTTTTCATTTCCTCTGTTTATCTTCCAGTGTATGTATCCAGCCAGTTTTCAGGGTTGCTGGGCTGCAGTCTGTATTTTTGTATTTGCAGAATCTTTTAGTGCATCTCCTCATGGCTTCAGGCTTTCTTCGTGATTCAAACACCTTGCTTTTTTTGCAATCTAGACATGCCTTCCCTCCTTTTTTCCTGATTATGCTTGCAGAGCCTTCAGTATATTTAGCAGAAGGCTGCTGGTAACCTGACTTGGATCACCTAAACCAGTTTTTCCTTTTTTTAATTTTTTTTTTAATTTGAAAGCAGGGAACATTATTCTTTGAGTGTCTTTGAAACTTGCCTGTTGCAGAGGCTGAGCAAAAGCACGGCAAAGATCTTTAAATGAAAAATGTAATACTCTGCATTTTATACTGCTAATACCTAACGAGGCTGTAGAGTGTAAATTGTAGTCACCGTTGCTCTCTCTTTTTTTCACGCAGGCTGGATTGCCATGTTGGGAGCTATTTGGCTGCTTGTGTTAGCAGACATCCATGATTTTGAGATGATATTAAACAGAGTTGAATGGGCAACGCTTCTTTTCTTTGCAGCATTATTTGTTCTCATGGAGGTAAGATTCTGTGATTCCTATGGTTTGAACAGTTAGAATCAGCTTACAGCGTGAAGTCTGAGGGCAGAGGTTCAGTGCCTTCGGAATACTGAAGTTATAGTCATGCCGCTATAGTCATAGTAGTACAAAATTGGCTGGACCTCTTTGACACTGCATTTTTCAATATAAGCTCAGCCTCACTGTCTCTCCCTCTGCTAGAGAGGCTACACAGAGCTGATATGGTCATTTTCCATAAACAGAATTTTAGCTTCCAGGCTTGTGCATGGTCCGTGTGAGCAAACAGATTATATGTATTTATATGTTACTTACTTAATGTAGTATAGTATATGTTACTATAATATACTATGTTAATATAGTATAGTGTATAGTATAGTATGTTAATATGGTATAGTATATGTTACCATAACTTACTTAGACACTAAATAGTATGGGAAGAAAAATAAAAAAGAATAATTAACCACAGATTAAAAATGTTGATTACATTTTGTGCTACATGCTGACTGTTCATGGCCTGGAAGATTTCATGTGAAGTATGTTTGAGAGGATGATACCACTGAATTTCTGTTTGTGATTGCATTTTGAAACATAATTTGCTATTCAAGAAGCTTAGCTATCTTCGCATATTGTTTCTTTGTGTTTATCTGATAGGCTATTTGAGTCATCCAGTCAGCCATGTTAATATCCCATTTTACTCACTATTTGATATTTTTGTGTATACTGAGTGGACTTATTTTTACCCCAAATTATTATTATTATTATTATTTTTGTATGGATACCCACACTTACATGTCAACAAGATTACTAGGTATTCCATAGAGTGTTTGTTATTTTCCAGTTGTTGTCTGCTTGGATTAAATTATGTGATTAAGTTGTAGAAACACGACTGATAGAACCTGAATGGCCACTGCGGCTCCCGTGGATAGCGGATTGCCAGAGCTAGCAATATGGGAACAGCCCGCAACTACCAATTGCTCCCCTCCCCACCCCCCCCCCAAAAAAAAACCTGCAAGGAATACCAGATTTTTAAAGAAAGAAAGAATGAACGAAAGAATGAAAGAAAGAAAGAAAAGAAAGAAAGAAAAAGGCAGGCAGGCAGGAAAGAAGGAAAGAAGGAAGGAAGGAAGGAAAAAAGGAAATCCTCACCAACAGAAAAGACTTAATTGGCAGCAAATGCAAATTTTGAATAATTCAACTAACTAATTAATTCCAAATTGGATGTCAAAATCTGGTAACCTGTGAGAAGATGAATGGAAGCTCTGATTATCATTAGGAAGCTTGTTTGAGAACTAGCAGGTCTAAAATTCATCAGAAATCATCATTTATTGGGTGCCAATTAACACATGCTATTTTTAGCTCTCTGTTACCAAGTTATGCACATCCTTGCAGTTTCTAGCCCTTATTGGGAATCCATACCAAAGTCATGTTTATTTTGTTTGCTGTTGCTGTAACAGTGTATTAGTTGCATTCCCTGATGTATTTATTGTTTTAGCTTGAATTGAACCGTTTTGATTTGAGTGCTGTGTGACTGCACAATAACATAGTAAAACACACAGGAAGTTATTTGCCATTTACTGCTAGACTTCAGTTATGATAGTTGTGATTCACTGAACTTCATTTTTATGGTTTCTTATGTCACCAGTGCATAGTTTGCTAACAAAAGGTTAAATTTCCTAGCTCTCTAGATTAACACCAGTTAAGGGTCATGAAAGAAACTCATACAGATAGTCAAGGGGAAATGTGAGAGCCATGTTAAATTCTTATGGATAAACAAATAGGGAAAATGTTTTAAGTGTCACTGCTGTTAGTTTTTATTTTAATCCATTAAAATAAATAATTCTGCTTGTATACCAGCAGGAGATAACACACTTTGTCAAGGCATTTTGGGCAAGACATTTTTGGGGCAAGAAGTAGGATGGCAACCCTGGACTTAAAGAGAGCTAATTTGACCTCTTCAGGGGACTCCTTGCAGGAATCCCCTGGGCCAGGGCCCTAGAAGGAAGTGGGATCCAGGAGAGTTGGCTAATATTCAAGCACTGTTTTCTCCAAGCTCAGGATTGGTGCATTCCTACAGAAAAGAAGTCAAGTAGGGAGGGCAGGAGACATGCACAGATGAGCAAGGAACTCTTGGGAAAACTTAAAGAGAAAAAGAGATCATACACAATGTGGAAGAAGGGTCAGACCACATGGGAACAGTATAGGAATACTGTCAGAGAATGCAGAGATGTGTTGAGAAAGGCCAAGGCCTGTTTGGGATTAGATATATCAGGGGCAACAGGAAGGACTTCTACAAATACATCATCAGCAAGAGGAAGACTAGGGAAAACATGAGACTGCTGATGAATGGGGTGGGTGCCTTTGTGACAGAGAATGCAGAGAAGGCAGAGTTACTAAATGCCTTCCTTGCGTCAGTTTTTACTGCTAAGGCTAGTCCTCATGAACTACAGAGCCCAGAGACAAAACAGAAAACAGGGAAAGTGAAAGACTTTTCGCTGGTCAAGGAAGATTGAGTTAGAGATTATTTAGGCAAACTGGACATGCATAAATCTATGGTCCCGGACGGGATTCACCCAAAAGTGCTGAGGGAACTGGAGGGTGTTATTGATCAGCTGCTCTCCATCATCTTCAATATGTTATGGAGAGTGGGAGAGGTGCTGGAGAACTGGAAGAAACCAACATCACTCCAGTCTTCAAAAAAGGGCAAAAGGGAGGAGCCAGAAAACTACAGGCTGGTCAGCCTCTCCTCTATCCCTGGAAAAGTGATGGAACAGCTCATCCTAGAGACCATTTCTAGGCATGTGAAGGAAAAGAAGGTGATCAGGAGTAGTTAGCAGAGATTTACGAAGGGGAAGTTGTGTTTAACCAACCTACTAGCATTATATGATGGGATGGGAGGCTGGGTTGATGATGAGTGGAATGAGAGCTGTGGATGTTATCTACCCTGACTTTAACAAGGCTTTTGACTCCGTCTCTCCCATAACATCCACATGGGGAAACACAGGAAGTTGGAGTATATGAGTGGACAGTGGGGTGGATTGAGAGCTGGGGCTGAGAAGGTTGTGATAAATGGTGCCAAATATAGTTGGAGGCCTGTGGCCAGTAGTGTCCCACAGGAGTCAGTGCTGGGCCCAGTGCTGTTCAACTTACTCACCAACAACTTGGATGAGGGCACGGAGTGCATCCTCAGCAAGTTTGTGCATGATACAAAACTGTGTGCAGTGGACGACGCCGGAGAGGTCTGTGCTGTCATTCAGAGGGACCTAGACAGGTTGGAGAGTTGGGCAGAGAGAAAGCTCATGAAATTCAACAAGGACAAGTGCAGGATCCTGCACCTGGGGAGGAATAACCCCAGGCACTAGGACAGATTAGGGATTGACCTATTGGAAAGCAGCTCCGCGGAGAGGGATTTGGGAGTCCTGGTCGACAATAAGTTAATCATGGGGCAACAATGTGCCCTCATGGCCAAGAAGACCCATGGGATCCTGGCCTACATCAGAAGGAATTTTGCCAGCAGGTCGAGAGAGGTGATCCTGTTCCTCTACTCAGCTCTGGTGAGGCCGCACCTGGAGTATTGGGTGCAGTTCTGGGCTCCCCAGTACAAGAGGGATGCGGAACTACTGGAGAGAGTCCAGCAAAGGACTATGAAGATGATTAAGGGACTGGAGCATCTATCTTACGAAGAAAGACTAAGCGAATCGGTCCTGTTTAGCCTGGAGAAGAGAAGATTGAGAAGGAATCTCATCAATATGTACAAATACTTGAGGGCAGAAGGTAAAGACGATAGGCCAAAATCTTCTCAGTGGTGGCTAGTGAGAGAACATGGGGTAATGGGTACAAATGGAAACACATGAAGTGTTACGGAGTCTCCTTCCACCCAGAGAGGTTGTGGAGTCTCCTGTGGAGAAACCCATCTGGATGCGACCCTTTGCAACATGTTCCAGCTGCCCCTGCTTGAGCAGCAGGGTTGGACTAGGTGATCTCTAGAGGTCCCTTCAAACCTCAATCATTCTGTGACCCTGTGATTCCATGATTTTTCTGTTCTTTAGATTAGTGATCTTGGAAAGAAACAACTTAAAGCCAAGATATGCACTGAAGAATAAGAAATCTTTCTGTAATCTAGATAGAGCTATTAGATTATGATATTTATTCTTGGTGATCCTTCACCCTGCATGGTTCCCAGTCCCAAGCTGTTTCTGATTGCTGTAAAAAAACACTGAATTTAAAAACCTACATGTGACATAGGCTTCAGGTCATTTTGGAAGATGTGTATTAGGTTCCACAGTCATTGGTGAACTCTTGGATATTTTACTTTTGGGTGCCAATCAGTATGCTGTGGTAGATCTTTTGCAAAGAAAAGGTTTTCTTTTTGATTCCTTTCCTTTGGATTGCTGGTTTTCCATTGCAATTTTCAGGTAATTCATCTCTACAACTGTCTTTTTCTCCCCAGTTCAAAACTGGCTGTTACAGGCTATAAATTCTTTCTGTTTCTTCTGTTTTTTTTGTGAACATAAATTCCTGTACCTCTCAGGGATACCTCATTGTGTTCAATTTTATAGTCAAAAAATGGCATTTACCTTAATCTCTTCAGGCAGAGTTTATTTACAACAGTCATCATGATATACCGTCTATAAGAGATTTTCATCCAAATTTTTGTTCATAAATTAAACTTTGATCCAAGAGGTACACGATTTTTTTTTTTCTGCAGTAAGAATCTAATTGGAGCTGTCAGACAGGCAATAGCTTGCTTGAAGGTACCAATTAGTGCAGTAATATTTATTCCATGTGGAGGACTGAGGAAGGTCCGGGAGAGCCGTGCACATCTGGGGAAGCCAGTGGCAGGATGCTCTCACTCAGATGCTTGCAGGCAATTAGCTTGGATATTGCAGAGACTTCTTAAAGTCTCTTATAATTGGCTGTGCATTTAGGACTGTCACCATCTCTAGCCTGATGAGCTACCTGCAGACAAGCTGTCTTGGAGGAATAATGTGCATGTGCTTTCTGCCTCTCCCTCGGATATTTCTTTCTATGTGGATTCCAGAAAAAAGTTCAGGTGTTAGTGCAAAATAATATGTTGTATTGATAGATAATTAATTAATAAGGCAGCAGGGTGGATCTGAGCTCTGCTTAAGAAATGTGTACACAAAGCAATAGCAGAAGAATATTTTAGTTCATTAACACTGTTTTTTTTTAATGTAAGGTGTATATACACATATTAAAAGCTTTGTTACTTGTTTTCTGTGTGCTGCTGAGTGATGTATTGTTAAACGTGAATATAACCTTGGGAGCAAATTACATATGTGGAATCACTATGTAAGTATAAGAGCACTAGTTTTGCTCTTATACTTATTTTTATTTATTTATTTATTTACTTCTGTTCATGGGAGAGTGGTTTGCTAGATCTTTTAGCTAAGCTGGGCCATCTTGAGATACAGTTGCACTGCCCTCATCTCTGCAGCTTCTTGTGCTCATAGAGCTACATGGAGCTAGACAAATGGGGTCTGAGGCAGCTGTTTGGCAGAATTATGTATCTTGTTCTCTCTTTTCTTCAGCTGAGGCTGAACACAAGATGCCCAATTTGATATGACTCTTTTATGCATATGATATATTTCTGTCTATAGTCTGCTTAAAAATACACTTAGGATTTTGTGGAAGTTGATTTAAAATCAATTGTTTATGGATACTTAGGTAAAAAAATGCATTCATTAAAGAATGGAGTCTGTACATTTCAGGGGTTCTCCAGGGACTGTGTCCTGTCCTCCTAAACAATCTGACCAATCATTCCAGTACAACCAACCTCTTTCTACAAATAGCCATAACTTCTGCTTTGTCTTTTCTTTCTGCCATTTGACAAGTTGCAGTAGAAGATACATGAGATATATGTAAAATATACATGATTATGGACATCTTGAGAAGGATTGTTCTGTTTGCTGAGCTCTAATGAAAAAAATGGAACTAACTGCATCAGATACTTCACTACTTGATATCAATGTCTCTTTTTAGGCTTTGGCTAACCTGCACTTAATAGACTATATAGGAGAGCAGACAGCTTTGTTAATTAAGGTATGTTTAAAATATATATATTTTTTTAATCAGGTAAGGAAAAAGTTTTATTCTATTACAATAACAAATAATAATTTCATTTTGAGTTTTATGTTAATCATGTTTTATGCTATTATTTGTGTTTCATGTTTTTTAGATTGCTTTCCTACATCAGCAATAGCAAGAAGGCATGCCATACTTTGGGGCAGATGATATTAATTAATATATGTATGTCTGTCCAGAGCCAGAATAAACATTACTGTAAATGCAAAATAGAAACATTTTCTATACTCTAGTAAACAAAAACTGTGGAAGTGAAAAAGTAAAATCATGAATGATAAAAGGAGAAAATTTGAAGTTGTACTGTCTTTTTCTTGTGTGAAATGTAAGCATGAATATTAGAAATGCCATTCTTTTTATTTGTTCAGGTTTCTTTGATAAAAGAGCGATGATTGTGTTACTAACTGGCAGATATTTTTTTAAATAATTTTTCCTGTCGCAAGGCCTGAAGGAATAATCTATGTTTATAAATTAAAACAGTGAAGCACCTGTGCAGTTGTGCTGTTAGGAAGCCAGAGTAATACTGATCCTATCAGAGCTGTAATTTAACCTCTCTTAATTCCAGGTAGTGCCTGAGGAGCAGCGCCTGGCAGTTGCCATCATTTTAGTGCTCTGGGTGTCTGCTTTGGCCTCGTCTGTGATTGACAATATTCCGTTCACGGCTACAATGGTATGAGCCTACAAAGAGTCTGCACTTCTCCCTCCTAGTTCTAGGGAGGAAGCTGAGCTTACTGATTACAATTCGCTTTCTTTTGACTTCTGCTATGCTATAACTTTCTTTATTCCCTGAGACTGAATCCTTTTTACCAGTTTATTCATATCAGTTAGGCATCTAGCTGGCCATTTCTACTTGCAGTTGCTGTGCTTAAGTGTAGATCTAAGTATAATCTTATAGAAGCATCTGCACCTGAAAGTAAAATTGTTTTCTCAGTGGAAACTGTCATTATCCATCCACAGCTGGCAATATTTTCCCTCTATACTCTGCATAGCTAGTCTAATGATCTTTTAATATGTGGACCTTTTATTGATACCTTTATTTACTTATTTTTAAAGCAGCAAATTATGTTAAACATAACTATGGTTTATCAGCAGCTGAGTTTTAATACCAGAAAAGTATCAAATTCGGGCATATTATGGAATGATTTAGTAATCCTTCAATCTACCATAGGAATGCTACTTTCTTACAGTGTGATCTCAGCTAAGTTGAATTCTTCTGAACCCTTTTTTCTGACATTCATTTGTGTGACCTTGTTTAGCCTTAGTTTGAGTTGAGGTGTAAGATACTTTAGAGTGCCCATGAAAGATTGGATAGATTTCTAGCTGTTCTATAATTCTATATTAGTGTATTCCTATGGTATTTTAGTTTGATTATCTTTGTGCAATGTGTTGGATTATACTGAAAAAATAGTAAAAATCAGATTAGTTTATTATTTCAAGTACATTTCAGTTCAATGCTGTGTTGGCCAAATTCTTCTTCTCTCTAAACAAATCTATTGTCAATGCAGTACGGAATCGATGTACATCAGTAGCTAGATTGAAGTCTGTACAAAGAGGTCAAAATGCAGCAGGTATTTTATACTACAAAAGATGTTCCAGAAAGATAATAGCAAGTATGTAAAAGATGGAATGAGTTTCTGAAGGCATTTATGTCATCACAGGTTGATTAATCTTACTGTTTATGTCTTGGTGAAATTCTGGTTTGTGCTGAACTAAAATAAAACATTGGAGCTGCACGAAACCAGAACTTGTTAAATAGCTAAATAATTCTAAAAATAGATTTCTTCCATCCTTACATCTAGAATGCATTATACAAAATAGAATATATGATTATCTAGTGTAGCGTTAATGAGAAATGTATTTTAGTACACTAATATTAATTCTTAATAAAATAGATAGACAGTGAGTCTGAAGTGTGTGTATGAAGTGTATGGTGAATTGCATTGTGCCACTTTATATATTATTCTACTATTCCTCTGATTTTTTTCCTGTTTTGGGGAAGGCTAAACTCACAATGGCATGCCTTAACAGGTGGAGCTGTTCATTTTTAAGGCTATTTTTTTCTAGTCATTGTCACTGACGTTTTTCGTTGTCATCTAAATAGCCATGGATTTCTACCCTTACACAGTTAGGTGACATGATTTTATTACCAGCACACGCTTTAGTTTAATTGACTTGCTTTATCAGCTGCATATGTTAGAACCATCTGTTTATATTTTTCTTTTATTACTGAAACGAAAAATATAGCCATAGTAGATCCTTGTTTCAGCTGAGTTTAAATACTATTTTCTCACTATATTGTAACAAACAATTTCCATTAACCACCTGGCTGTCAAGGTGACTTCATTTCTGACACATTTCTTTTCTTAGAACCCAGATAATTTTTGGTCTGCTATTTATTGCCTTTAAAACTGTCAGAGGCTTTTCATTTGCAGGACTGATTTTGTTCCCAGACATCTCATGTTCTCAGCGCCAGTTTTATTCTCTTTTTCCTTCTGCCTTACTGGAGTTATTTCTATGTCTTGCCTTTCAAAATTGCTGATAAATGTGTAAGACTGAGCTCGAGCTCTAGCAGTCTCCAGAGACAGACTGTTCTTAATGAAAACATCAGCGATTTGGGAAACCAGAAATAGCTAAATAGCTTTTTTTTTTTTTTTCTCTTGTTAATCTGCATTCTCTGCAGTTTTCATAGAAGGCATATTTACCTTGCGTAATTCTTAGGAAAGTGTGTGCCATGAAATCCCATGTCGTAGAACAGTAGTGTGTCCCTAAAATAAAGATAAAAACGTCTCTTCCATACAGGATATAAATGGAATGCACAGCCAAGTGGTTCATGTTATATGAGGGGTGTGCGTAATTACATTTACAAGGATCATGCTTAGGCAGCAGAAGTAGCTGGGAGGACTTCTCCATGTTGTCCTTCCTCTTCAGACTTCTCCCTGAATTGTATTTCAGAGGAGGGTTTTCACAGTTCAAGAAAGAGCTCCTCCTTCTTGATGGCACTGCCTGGTCATTCTTATGGCAATGTTCATGAGAAGGTTTCATCATAAACATAGGTGAATGGGATAAAGGTCCTGATTCAACCTGTCCATTGGTGAAAACGAGTCTTGGAAAACAGGTTGTGATGGTAAGATGTGAATAAGCTACCTGTTTGGTCACACTTCTGCTTACCAATAATGTATTTTTTTTATGTACCAAATAGGAGTGAATGCAAAATATTCAAGGTCCTCTATTCCAGCTGCAGCCAAGCAGCGCTGGAAAGAACATGGCTTGCAAGGTGTCATGTAGATTCCTCTCTGCAAAACAGAGCTGATGTGTAACCCTCACCACACCTCTCCTCCTTTGACAAAAGGGGCTGCACACTACAATATAAGAACAAGGATTGTTTGCAACAGAAATTGTGATTAAAACTGACACTATTCTGGAAAAAAAGTAGCTTAGTGGTGATTGGTCTATAGCATTCCAGGCTAAAATCTTTGATTTTTCTCTTTTTCAAAGCCTTCAGTTAAAGTTAAAATTGACCTTCCTTTGTTTTCAGTCGTTTCACTTTGTTTAAATTTTCAGGGTTTCACAGCCTAGTGAGTTTTGAGAAGAAATGCATTGTCTTGTAAAATCATGTTTCTTGAATCTGAATTAATTTCTAATACTATTAATTTTTGTTAGAGCCTTTTTTCTAAGGTAGCTGGGTAATTAACAATAGTAATAAAAACCCTATCCATTTTTAAAAGCTTATGAATCTGGTACAGCATTATAATCAATATGGAAGATGACAATACATACTTTTTATTTTTGTAACATATCGTATATCCTTTCTTAATATATGGTATAAACACTTGCTTCACAAGGACTGATTTTTCTTAGGACATTTATCTAGACAAATGTGCCAGTATCTGTAAACTTTTGTGCTGTTCTTTGTGTGTCAGATTAAATCCTATGTTTATAATACACAAAACACCATTTAAAGAATCAAGATTAGTGGTTAGCATCTTTCTATATCAAGTCTTTGAGTCCTTTTCTAAGTACAGTTATTATTTTCTATAGTTGTGTTCTTACGTGTTTGTACCTGGTGGCAGGTAGTACTAATAATGAGTGGTTGAGGGGTATTTGGCTTTGCTCTGTTGAACTACATCACATATTTTATCAAAATCCTGTCAATCAAGCATCAATGTAAGCTGATTTAAAAATATTGAACTATTCAACAAAGCCAGCAGGTTTTCTAGGAACTAAAAAGGCAGAGCTTTCTCCTCTGTGAGAGCATTAAAGTAAAGGGTATAAGAAATAAATGTTCTTTTCCTGATGAGATATTATTATTCTCCTGCTAATATGGATGTGTTTATGTATCTGAAAAAGCAATAATGAAGGAATCACAAAGTTTCATAAGCTTTAACTACTACTTTTTGTCTCTGTTGAGTGGCAGTGCTTAGTAAAACTATGAAAAAAGCTTCATTCTAAATAAGTTAAATCAATATAGCAAGCACATTTGTACGATATGTACTGCAGCCAAATATATCCCAGTGTGCAAAGTATCCTAGCTTGGTTTTCTTTCAGTGCTGCTTTAAATGCCTACAGTTTGAATCAGAAGGAGCTGTAGAACTAATTTACTTTTTCAAAAGCATTGAAGCCTACAGTGGAAAGTTTCCTTCTAATCCTTTTATATTTCACATTTCAGTTCTAAATACTCGGGTGAATTATAGCAGTGCATGAACCTAAGATCTGAGGTATTGACAGTGGCAGAAGTGCTCTCTAACACATACTTGCACGAACAAAGGTGACAGAGGATGCTGAAGGTTATTTCAGGGAAAACAGAGAGACAGGTTCCATTGCAACTGATCCTATGCAAAGTGTATCTATTTAAGAAGATGACACTCAAGCCAGGAGAGTCATCCATTGTTTTAATTGCTTTGCAGCCTGTCTTCAGGAGCTCTTGCTGATGATCGCGATTCTTGATTCTTCCTTGTCATTGGAGTGGGAAAATACTTAGTATGGAAACGGGAACAATCTGTTTGTATCATACCTACTTTTAGATCCAAGAATTAGACACCAGTGACTTTTGGAGAGCCAGTGGAATATGTTTGCCACTCAGGATAACTCATAATGCTTGCAAAAAATATGCAGTCTTTGGATCAATGAAATATTTCTGTCTGGAACACTGAAAACTTAATGTTTTCATCTTTTGTCTTGTTATTCAAAATGAAAACTGGAAAAGCAGCACTTCGTGTTAGAAATTTCTCTTCTTTTCAAAGAATACATAAATACTAACTCTAACTTCAAGCGTGTGACAGAAGTCTATAGGATTTCCACCCCCGTTTATGACTTACAGTAGTTGTTCTCTGGTAGTGATGAATTTCTTCAAATAGCAAAAAAGTCCAAATTATGTGATACAATATAAAAAGGCAATATATATATTGCTAAGACATTTTTCAGTGTTTGTCTCTTGTTGGAAAAGCAATCGTTTATGGAAGCAGAGATTACTGACCTAGCTCTGCAGTTTCTCAATACACCTAGGAAGATGACATCACTGAAGATAATTTTTAATAGATGACATTATTATGAAGGACTTTGAAAAAGATTTTACAGTATCTCTAAATGGAATAAAATCAATGTTACAACAAGGAAATAATGATAAAACTGGTGAGGTCAATTGAGTATTTGGGCTTCTAAAACACTTTGTAGCATTTAAAAATTGAGAAACGTGAATATAAGCACATTATAGAACTGCACTTTCTTTTGAAATATTGTGATACCTTTTCATGTCGAAAGGAAGGTAGAGTGAGTTGAAACCTTTGGTTACTGACTTTCTTCCAGGGGGTTTCTTTGGCTTAAGTGAACAGAGATTATGGACCACTGAAGCGCAGGTTGTTAAGCTCCTTCAGTAAACATAAACCCATATTTTCTGATGGGAGTAGTCTGTCTATCCAGCCACAAATATGTAGCAGGCAATTGAACGACTGACACTTCTGCCTTGGATCTGTCCCTGCTTCCGCTGTCCTTGGTGCTGCTGTAATTAGGGAGGAGGCCTCGGAGTGCCATGAAAGTCTGCTTTCCACATGGTTCTCACCCAGAGGTGTGTGAAAACGGCATTACCCTCTGCTCTTGGGATCTGGCTGGTAGCAACTTTAGGATTGATCCTCAATAGCAAGAAAATAGGATTAACAACACCTGTATTTGCTGGGAAGAGCATTGGCACAAGGAGTCTAATTTAAAAGGTGCTGCCAGTCTGCGCTGCTCAGGAAGATTACTGTATCACATCAGGATACCTGCTAATAATTCAGAGGAACTTGTCACGGAAAGAGT